GGCAGAACAGATGTGTTCTCACGGTTAATTGGGATAGACAAGGGGCAGCAATGTCTTTTTTTTTCTTTTTGAGACAGTGTCGCCCTGTTGCCCGGTCTGGAGTGCAATGGCAAGGTCTTGGCTCACCAAAACCTCTGCCTCCTGGGTTCAGGTGATTCTCCTGCCTCAGTCTCCCGAGTAGCCATCACAGGCTCCTGCCACCACACCCAGCTGTGTATTTTTTAGTAGAGATGGGGTTTCGCCATTTTGGCCAAACTGGTCTTGAACTCCTGACCTCATGATCCGCCCACGTTGGTGCTGGGATTACAGGCGTGAGCGACCACACAGCCCCCTTTTTTTTTTTTTTCCCCCCAGACTGAGTCTCACTCTGTTGCCCAGGCTGGAGTGCACTGGTGTAATCTTGGCTCACTGCAACCTTCACCCCCCGGGTTCAAGCGATTCTCCTGCCTCAGCCTCTCGAGTAGCTGGAATTATAGGTTTGCACCACCACACCTGGCTAATTTTTGTATTTTTTAGTAGAGATGGAGTTTCACCATGTTGGTCAAGCTGGTCTCGAATTCCTGACTTCGTGATCTGCCCACCTCGGCCTCACAAAGTGCTGGGATTACAGGCATAAGCCACTGCGCCCACACATGGTATAGCAATTTCATAATGAGATATGGAATTTCAGATTATGGGAAAGTGTAGGTACAGGGGAGGACATCAAAACCGTTTCCTCTACAGCAGTATCATTTTATTGAGGATTGGGTTGGGCATGGTGGCTCACAACTATAATCCCAGCACTTTAGGAGACCGAGGTGGGTGGATCACCTGAGGTCAGAAGTTCAAGACCAGCCTGGTCAACAGGGTGAAACCCTGTCTCTACTAAAAATACAACAATTAGCTTGGCATGGTGGTGGGCACCTGAAATCCCAGTTATTCAGGAGGCTAAGGCAGGAGAATTGCTTGAACCCAGGAGGCAGAGATTCCAGTGAGCTGAGATTGTGCCACTGCACTCCAGCCTGGGTGACAGAGCAAGACTCCACCTCCCAAAAAAAAAAAAAAAAAAAGACGGTCAACTCTAGTCCTACTGAATAAATGGGAACTTGAGACACAAGTGCAACTTTTCTGTAATCTCAGAAAGAACAGTAGGTCTAATGAATCAAATATTGGCTCTACCTACTTTTAGAACTTAAGCCAGACCATTCTGTCATCTGGAAAAACAAAAAATTAAAGCTTGGGCCAGATGGTCTGTAAGATTTATTCCTATGTACAACATCAGATCCAATGACTCTGTCAACTAAATCTGTGCCAATGACTTATTTGAAAGTTGGAACAAACTATATAATCAGCAGATTCCCCACATTCAGATAAGTCTCAGTGAAGACTGAATAACACATCCTGAAGAATAGCTGCCATCTCTGCAGGATTCTGTGAGATGAGGGAAGTGATCCGGACCTCTTGGCTGGGTTTATCTGTATCTGCTCCTGAATCTTCAGCCTGCTACAATCTGTTCACACCTGCGTATCTACAGTCTTGACATCCTACCACTTGCTTCTCAAGGCTCTTAACCTGAGCTAAAAGTAAATTGCGCTTTTCTTTTCCCTTCATTTTTGTTTGATATGTTACTCTCTACTGCAGCTGCAAGTAAACCAATTTCAACACCACTTTCTTAATCTAATTCATGCTATTATAAATTCCTAGTGTCCAAGGAACTGAGAAGTTACTGCTAGAAGTGGTCAATATTGTCATCCTGAGAGCCCTAAAGGAACAGTTTTGCAAAAACAGAATATACCAGAGGCTACCTCCAGGGTAGCATCTGCACATATGAAAAACCTGCCAACGCTGAGCTACTATATCCAGTTATGAAGAAGCCATGTGTCACAAGCCATTTACCAATCAAAACGCAGCAGTTCAGGCATCTGCTTTCCCCCTTTCTTCAGTGTACCTCTTTTGCCTTTTTCCTATTCTAACATTTTTTTTTCTTTCCAGCTCATTGTTCTTCTCCTTAGTCTGTCAATTACAAGACTTTGCAAAGCCAATCATTTCTATATGAGGACCAAAGTAATCCTCCCTAATGACAAATTTTATTATGGGAGACAGTGTCTTTCTTGATCCTTCTGCCCAATTATCAAGCCATCTTACGTCCTGAAGATTTTTAAACTTCCCAAATAATTCCAACATGTGCCTTCTGGTCCTAAAGCACATTCTGCCAGATTTACCTCCCACCACTCACTTCCCTCCACACCAACCACCCCCTCTCCACTAAAACTTAACCTCTAGTCCCTAACAGTCTTTGCTCTTGGTGGTCTTACTACATAGAGGACTCTTTACACTTTCTCCACCTGTCAACAAACTCTAATTGATCTTTAAAAAGCACTTCATCTGGTGACAAAAAGTTCATGGCCAGACATTGGATGTCTCAAGGGCTGACATGAGAGGTGCGGGATCAGAATAAGCCACGAGGAAACGGACACTGGGGACTCTGAGAGAAGGAAGGGCTTGGAACAGCTTCCCCTACTTCACAGTTCCGTCCTGGATCGTCAGCTGTCGAGCATGGAATAAAACTGCGACCTCCCTGGGCCTCAATTTCCCCTTATGCCTGCACTTTCTGCTTTCTCCACATCTTCGCAGAGAAACCCATGCGCACCCAGGAACACACACCATTCTGCCTCAGTCCTCAGGGGTACTCCCGACCCCCCAAGAAGAGAGAAGAGAATGCCCATCCCTCTCCCAGCCTTTCTAGAAGGCCCAACCCGATGCAGCCAGTCCCTCGAAACTCTTGCTGGCAGGATGCCAGCGACGCTCGCCCGGGGCAGCCCTCCCACGGCCGTCCGGGAACCGCTATCCCCAGGGCACGACGCGAAAGCTCGACGGAGGCGCCGTCCAGCTAGGCATCCGAGGGTTCTGGACCCGACCCCCGGGTCACTTTGTGACCGATTTCTCCGCGCCACAAACTCTGGAGCCGGAGGCGCGGATTTTGCACTAGTCTCAGCTGCTGTGAAGCCTCAGGCGCACCCTCCCACCCAAACTTACCTCTTGCTGAGGGGCCGGACCCTCACGGCGACCCGCACGTTCGCCATCTGTCTGCCACAACCCAAGTCTGGCAGCTCAGCTCAGCGGCTGCATCCCCAGCCCCCGCCCCAAACCCAGGCACAGCCCCAACCCGGCTCCGCCCGCCCCACGAGCCTCTGGGGACGCCCCCGCCCAGAAGCGAGCTGCCGCCCGAGCGGGGCGGTGCCTGTCGAGCCTCGGCCAATTCTGAGCCCAGTGGGCGGGAGAACTCCCGGCCCCGCCTCCCCTCAATCTTCCTTAAAGCCTGCCGACTGGCCTTCTCCCAAGCAAGCGCCGCAGCCCGTGCGGGGCGGTTCCCACCGAGTCTGAGCCAGTCCTTAGCCTGGTGGGCAGGAGGACGTCTGGGCTCGCCCCGCCTCGCTCCACCCGAAGTCTTCCAGGGTCGCCCCCGCCCAAGCACGTGCTGCAGCCCGAGCTGGGTGGTGCCAGCCCAGCCTCTGCCAGTCGGTGGGCGGGAGGACGCCCGGGCTCGCCCCGCCTCGCTCCGCCCCTTAGCCTGCCGAGACGCCCCCGCCCATACGCCTGCCCTGCCACGCGGGGCCCCCAGTGCTCGCACAGCGTCAGCCAATCCTGAGACGGATGGGGCAGCGAAGACGCAGTGCCAAGTCTGCTGTTCCAGGCCCGGCTTACCCCGAAATCGTTTTTGTTCTTTGTCTCGGTGTCCGTGCTATGTAGAGTCAAGTAAATCAGTTAAGTTTTGGTTAAGGTCCGAAAGTTTGGAAAGTAATTTGGTAAATATTTTTATTCGCTGCGTTCGCTTGAACTGTCAATTCTATGGTTAAATTTTCGAGACAGGCCCGGCGCGGTGGCTTACGCCTGTAATCCCAGCACTTTGGGAGGCTGAGACGGGCAGATCACCTGAAGTCGGAAGTTCGAGACCAGCCTGCCAGCCTGACCAACATGGTGAAACCTTGACTGTAATGAAAATACAAAAATTAGCCGGACGTGGCGGCATGCGCTTGTAATTCCTGCTACTTGGAGGCTGAGGGAGGTGAATCACTTGAACCCGAGAGACGGAGCCCAGATTGCACCACTTTACTAAAGCCTGGACGACAGATTCCATCTAAAAGCAAAATTAAAATAAAATAAAAGGCAGCCCCTTACTGACAAGGTACTTTCTGACATCAGGGACAAAGCACAGATGGAACCAATCTAGGAAAAGAGTTCTTGTCCAGGTCTTCTCGTACAACCAAAAGACAGGTAGCTGGTGTTTATCTTTTCCCTTCAAGGCTTGGGGGTTAGCAGCTATATACGTAAGGGCAGTGCTGATCATAAACCCAGCTGCGTTTGTACAAAATATTAGAGATAGCCGGGCGCGGTGGCTCAAGCCTGTAATCCCAGCACTTTGGGAGGCCAAGGCGGGTGGATCACGAGGTCAAGAGATCAAGAGCATCCTGGTCAACATGGTGACCCTGTCTCTACTAAAAATACAAAACATTAGCTGGGCATGGTGGCGCGTGCCTGTAATCCCAGCTACTCAGGAGGTTGAGGCAGGAGAATTGCCTGAACCCGGGAGGCGGAGGTTGCGGTGAGCCGAGATCGCGCCATTGCACTCCAGCCTGGGTAACAAGAGTGAAACTCTGTCTCAAAAAAAAAATATTAGAGATAAACTATCTCATCCTGCCCAAAATCCTGGTGCTTGCTTCTGTTCCTTACTAATAATGTCCTTTGTGGCATTTACTTTTCCAGAATAGGGCACTTGCATATGCACCAAAAACCTGCTCAGGCAGATATCCTTTCTTCTCATAATTTATTTAATGATCTCTAGGAACTTACCTGCTCCCTCTTTGTCAGCAGAAGCTGCTTCTCCTGTTATCTTGACATATTTTAAAACAATCCTTTCCAAATTTATCAAACCATTCTTTGCTGGCATGAAATTCTTTTTGTGTTTTTTTTCCAGGCAAGAACTTTAATGAACTGAGCTGTTACTGACAACATAAAAAACCAGTATAACATGTACAAAATTCTTTTATGTCAGGAGAAAATTTATCATGTTGGCAACAGAACATGTCCTGCTGACCTCCAAGTGGCTGGCATAGTTCATCCACCCCGTGACAGGCCCGCTGGGACTGTGGTGAACATGCCTGTACCTCAGCACAAAGTTCCCTCTCTCTGAGAAATGGACATAAGGAGAGATGAAGAGCGTGTACCCAGAAGGAAGAGGGAGAGGCTTGGAGCCCTTTGCCCCAAGCTCAAAACTTCAGGGGGATGACCGCCCAGTACTTGGGCTGCTTTCAAAGGTCAGCTGCACTGTAGCCTCCATGGCCTGGATCTTGGCGGCGCTGTCCCTGTACAAACGCTTTATCTCGGCCTGGCACCACTCACCAGGCCCCTCATTTGGGGCCTCTACTGACCGGCAGATATCGCAGTTCAGGTCATGGTCAGCATTCACATAGCCGTCCAGGCGCTCTGCATCCAGCTGCTGCTGCCTCTGTCATTCTCTGTGCCTTCTGGTCTCTGCAAAGTACTGGTGGAGCTCTTCGGTGACTTCCATATTGCTCAGGTCGCATTCTACCTCTGTATCTGACTCGGTCTCCATCTCTTCCTCTTTGGACAAAGCTTGGTCTTCTCTTGTGGATGCCTGGATCCTACTACTGTCATGTGGATGGTGCCCAGACCCTCTGAAATGTGAAGAACTGCAGGGGGAGTCCTGCCAGGCCACATGATGGTCATAGAAAGACTGAGGGTACACAGCCTGGTTACTGTAAGAGCTTTGGGGAAGAAGTGCAGGCGGGAAGTACCATGGAAGACTGAAACACCACAGCCTTCCTGTAGGCATTCTGGTGGCTTTGCATCCAAGCCATTGTTTGATGACAATGTTGCCAGTATCTTGCATATACCAGATGAGAATACCAATGCCTGGGAGCTTTCAATGTTGATGCTTTCATTGCTGCCATCTCTGATTGTGAAAGTCCAAATGGGTGCCAAAACTCATGGGCATGCAGCTTGCAGATCCTGGGCAGTGGCCAAGCAGGGGCCTAGTTTTCCTTGGAGAGAGAGGGGGCAAAATTCTTTAGCTTTAGATCCTTCACCTTCCTTTTGCTTTAAGCTGTCATATAATGACATTGCTTGTTCTCAAATGATCTTATATAGGTACGTTTTTTTCTTTTCTTTTCTTTTCTTTTTTTGAGATGGAATCTCACTCTGTCACCCAGACTGGAGTGCAGTGGCACCACCTTGGCTGACTACAACCTCCATCTTCCTGGTTCAAGCAATTCCCCTGCCTTAGGCTCTCAAGTAGCTGGGATTACAGGTGCACACTACCATGCCCAGCTAATTTTTTATACTTTTAGTAGAAATAGGGTTTCACCATGTTGGCCAGACCAGTCTCAAACCCCTGACCTCAGGTCATCTGCCTGTCTCAGCCTGCCAAAGTGCTGGGATTACAGGCTTCAGACTGCGCCTGGCAAGGTATGTTTTTCTTACAGCAATCCTGTACCCACATAAAGGCTGTATTTTCTTTCTTTTTTTTTTTTTAGATGGAGTTTTGCTCTATTGCCCAGGCTGGAGTGCAGTGGCATGATCTCGGCTCACTGCAACCTCTGCCTCTTGGGTTCAAGCAATTCTTCTGCTTGGAGCCTCCCGAGTAGCTCAGATTACAGGTGTGCACCGTGATGCCCAGCTAATTTTTATATTTTTAGTAGAGACGGGGCTTCAGCATGTTGGCTAGGCTGGTCTTGAACTCCTGACCTCAGGTGATCCACCCACCTTGGCCTCCCAACGTTTTGGGATTACAGGCATGAGCCACCATGCCTGGCCAAAAGCTGCATTTTCAATACAAGATAAAAAGATATTTCAGGGCTGGGCACAGTGGCTCACACCTGTAATCCCAGCACTTTGGGAAGCTGGGGTAGGAGGATTGCTTGAGCCCAGCAGTTTGAGACCAGCCTGGACAAAATGGTGAGACCTTGTCTCTACAAAAATTAAACTATTAACAACATATTTCACAAAAAGTGCACGGTTTTTGTGCCTGCTGGTGTAGCTGTGGTAATGGCTGCACAATTTTTTTTTCTTTTACAATGGGCCTTACAATGAATTCATTTATCTTGTAATGCATGCAACCACAGCTGCAGACCTCAATCTACAGTACATATCAAGCAATTCAACTTTTTCTTGTAATGTCCTGACTTTTCTCTGCTTCTTGGGAGCACGTGCAGCATCACTAGTGGCACTTTGTACTGGTCCCCTGATATTATTAAAGGCTTATGGTATTGCACTGAATATGGTGAAAAACACTTGAGAACCTCAAGAGATCACTTTTTATTGTGATACAGTTTACTGAAGAGACGAACTACTCTGATGATTAGCATCACAGGGTTTTAAGCAGATACTGGCAACACTTGACTCACTAAAACAGCAACAGGAGGCAATTACAAAATTATTACAGTAGTACAGTATGCACTAGTTAACTTTATAGTTATGCTTTAATACTGCATTTTTAATTTGTTTACATGTAGTCTGTATGTTTTCATAAAATTTAACTTTTAATAGATTTGTGTATTTTGTGGTAGTAAATGATAGACTAGTATCTACATATATTTTATGCATTTATACCTTTTAATTTTTTTGATATCTGTAGGCCACACAGTTCATCTGTGAATTTTTCAAGTGGCACAAAGCTCCAAATTTCCAATATATTGAAAAAAATTGCATATTCCTGTGCACTTCAAACTTACGTTGCTCAAGAGTCAAATGTATAATTTTTTCAGTAAACTCAGAGGATTCCCCAAACTGTGGGATAAATATTTTATGTAAATTCATGTGTTTTAGTGATATGTGAAGAAATCCCACAATACACTAATGACAGTCTTATTAAAATCTCAACTCTATTATAGATTTTGCATGTCAAGAAATCTTTTAAGTTCTGCTATTCCTCAGACTATCTTCCTGACTTCATTGAAGCTTTCAGAGGATATAATAGGGGTCAGACTGGTAGAGTCACATAGAGAAAGAAATAAAATAAGAGAAATGCTAGGAAAACTAGCAGCATCTCAATTCCTCCAGAATGGTCTTCACAAACTGGCATCACTATTATGCTCGCAGTAAATTTTCAAATTTCACACACCTCTCCTAGTGTAAGTAGGCTGGATGCAAGGGGCTCACACCCATAATCCCAACACTTTGGGAGGCTAAGATCACTTGAACCCAGGAGTTCAAGACCAGCCTTGGCAACATGACAAGACCCCATCTCTACAAAAAATATTTTTAATTAGCTGGGTGTGGTGGGGCACAGTTGTATTCCCAGCTACTTGGGAGGCTGAGATGTAGGGATCTACTGAGCCCAGGAGGTTGAGAATGCAGTGAGCTGTGATTGTGTCACTGCACTCCAGCCTGGGTAAGAGCAAGACCATCTCAAAAAAAAAAAAAAAAAAAAAGACACACAAAGCTAATTTTTTGTTTTTAGTATCTACCCATCTAAAAGTTGAATAATTAAAGAAAAATTGATCAGCACTGATTGACTCTGGAAGAGTATTAAATTAACTTTTTCCTTTGAAGTAGACCTCAGGCTTTACTTACCTCAAGCTCTTTTGATTCAGATTGTCTGTATGCCTATAGTGTATAAGCTACAGAGTGCATCAGTCCATTCTATCACTTTAGATTCAGACAAGGGCTACAAAATTTTAGTTAGAAATTACAGGTTTATTTTTACATTTTGAAAAAGATATAACAGAAAACAAAAATAACCAGGCATATCAATATTTGTGATATATACACACACACAAATGAAGATAGGAAATAACATGAAGAAAAAGCATAGTAAGATGTTTTGAAACCAAGGTGGGGTATAAACAAGTTTTTGATGAAATACAACCAAAGGCTTTGTGTAAGTGTCTATGTAATGTTCATGATATTACAACCACTCTTATCCTATTAGCTAAAATTAGCAAAGTAGACTTTAAAACATGATACCTGGTGTTTTAGCAGGATTTGTTTTGGTAATCCACCTGCTTCCTTATAAACAACCACTTTACTCATCATTGTTGAAGTCTTCTTGTGTGAAGGAGTGTGATGAGGGCAGGCATGGTGGCTCACACCTGTACTCCCAGCACGTTGGGAGGCTGAGGTGGGAGGATTGTTTGAAAACCAGGAGTTCGAGACCAGCCTTGACAACATGGCGAAACCCCGTCTCTACAGAAAATACAAAAATTAGCCAGGCATGGTGGCGCGTGCCTATAGTCCCAGCTACTTGGGAGGCTGCGGTGGAAGGATCACTTGAGCCTGAGAGGTCGAGGCTGCAGTGAGCCGAGATCAGGCCATACCACACTCCAGCAGTCTGGGTGACAGGTGAGATCCTGTCTTAGAAAAAAGCAAAGAAAAAAACAAAAAACAAAACTGATGTACACGTTTTAAAGCAAAACAGAACCCCAAGTTTAAAAGTAAAATAAGCCAGGGATAGTTACAATTCTGATAAAAAATGAGTATATTCTGAGGCAGCTGTTAGTATATCACTCTCTATTATATGCACGATAACCTCAGATAGGTAAAATATCTGAGCATTTTGTAAGGTAAACCTCCAAAGTTACCACAATGTGCCTTTTTCTTTGCTGTTTCTTCTTTGCTTATTCCTTCAGCTGCCAGTAAACACTCAGGAACTCTGCTTAGTGTGCCAGGATTTCCAAGACTACCTCCAGATCCCATGATTTCCAGGTAGAATTCACAGGACTCAGCATATCATCATGCAGCTATGATTTATTACAGCAAAAGCATATGAAGTGAAACAGGAAAGAGAAAATGTACAGAGGCAAAGTCTGGGGGAAACCAGGCACAAGCTCCCAGAGTCCTCTAACAGTGGAGTCACACATATGTGTTGTTTCATTTCACCAGCAACTGAATTGTGACAACATGTAAGAAATGTTGTTTACCAGGGAAGCTTGTTAGAGAGTGGCCAGGGTTTTTACTGGGGGCTGGTCACTTAGGTACCTTCTACCTACCATGTATCAAAACTGTAGATTCCCAGGAGGAAAGCACAAACCACATTGTACAAACAGCTTAGTTAGGCCGGGCGCGGTGGCTCAAGCCTGTAATCCCAGCACTTTGGGAGGCCGAGGCGGGTGGATCACGAGGTCAAGAGATCGAGACCATCCTGGTCAATATGGTGAAACCCCGTCTCTACTAAAAATACAAAAAATTAGCTGGGCATGGTGGTGCGTGCCTGTAATCCCAGCTACTCAGGAGGCTGAGGCAGGAGAATTGCCTGAACCCAGGAGGCGGAGGTTGCGGTGAGCCCAGATCGCGCCATTGCACTCCAGCCTGGGTAACAAGAGCGAAACTCTGTCTCAAAAAAAAAAAACAAAAAAAAAACAGCTTAGTTACCATTAGCCACTCTTTTTAGTGAATGGAGCCCTCCTGTTAAGGTTTAAATATGTCCCCCAAACTTTAAGTGCTGGAAATTAAATTGACATTGTAAAAGTGTTGAGAAGAGACCTTTAAAAGGTGATTAGGTAAGGAGGGCTTGGCTGTCATTAATGAATTAGTGTTGCTATCTCAGGAGTGGGCTCAGGATAAAAGGCTAAGTTTAGCCCCATATATCTTTCTCTTGCTCACTTGCCATGTGATGCCTTCTGTCATGGCAAGACCCGCGCTAGATGATGGTACCATATTCTTGGACTGCCTACTGTGCACACCTGTGAACCAAATAAACTTCTGATCATTATAAACTACCTAGTCTGTGTAATTCTGTTATGAGAGGAGAACAGACTAAGACACCTTTTGATAGATATCTAAGTTCCCAGATGCAACAGCCAAGGATGAACCTTATAATCAATCAGGCCTTTCAAAGGATAAGTCAGTCTGGCTGTTACTCTTTTCTGCATACTTAGTGACACTCCCACAGGAACAATCACCATAGACATTTTTAGATTCAAGAAGACCATTCTAATTCAGAAACACCCGTTTTTGTTTGTTTGTTTTTTTGAGACAGAGTCTCGCTTTGTTGCCCACACTGGAGTACAGTGGTGCAATCTGGGCTCACTGAAATCTTCATCACCCAGGTTCAAGCGATTTTCCTGCCTCAGCCTCCTGAGTAGCTGAGATTCCAGGTGCATGCCACCACGCCCAGGTAATTCTTGTGTTTTGTATTAATTTTTTATTTTTTTCAAGACTGAGTCTTGCTCTCTTGCCCAGCCTGGAGTGCAGTGGTGCCATCTCAGCTCACTGCAACCTCTGCCTCCCAGATTCAAGCAATTCTTCTGCCTCAGCCTCCCAAGTAGCTGGGATTACAGGCATCCACCACCATGCCCGGCTAATTTTTTTGTATTTTTAGTAGACAGGGTTTCACCATGTTGTCCACATTGGTCTTGAACTCCTGACCTCAGGTGATCCACCCACCTGGGTTGGCCTCTCAAAGTGCTGGGATTACAGGCGTGAGCCACCACGCCTGGCCTGTATTTATACAGTGTTTTCTGTTTGCATCTGCTCACCTTAGCCTCCCAAAGTGCTGGGATTACAGGCGTGAGCCACCACGCCTGGCCTAATTTTTGTATTTTTAGTAGAGATGGTGTTTCACCATGTTGGCCAGGGTGATCTCAAACTCCTGACCTCAGGTGATCCACCCACCTTGGCCTCCCTAAGTGCTGGGATTACAGGTGTAAGCCACTGACCCTGGCCAGAAACACATTTTTTTTTTTTTTTTTTTTGAGATGGGGGTCTTTCTCTGTTACGCAGGCTATACTGTAGTGGTGTGATCATTCTCATTGCAACCATAAACTCCCATGCTTAGGTGATCCTCCTACCTCAGCCTCCCAAATAGCTGGGACTACTGGCATGGACCACCATGCTTGGCTAATTTTTTGTATATTTTGTAGATATGGGATTTCACTATGTTACCCCAGTTGGACTTGAACTCCAAGGTTCAAGCCATCTGTCCGCCTCAGTCTCCCAACTTATTAGGATTGCAGGTGTGAGCCATCACAGCCTGCTATAAACACACATTTTTTAAAAAAGACATAATAGAGAATTTTCTGCCTGAGAAATGGTTAGTTCACTTATGTTAATAAATTGTCATGGCTATTTTTTAATCTTCTCTAGTTTTACTGAAAAGTAGAATGAAAATATATGAAAAACAAAGGAAAAGTCAGTTTGGTCTTAATGAACCTGAGATCTTGACACTCTAATATAAAGCAGGTTCTTTCAGTATTACTAGCAGCAAAGACTATTAATAACCATGTTATATAGTCAATTCGAAATAGACTTCATATGATTACACATAATTAAGCAAAAATGAAGTTGATGATTATTTGGTATTAACAGATTGGACATGAACTTTAGAAGTAAGAAGTAAAGGAGGCATTATAATATCATGTTTATAAAGATAATTTTCTTCAGCTAATATTTTGGGGATATAAGAGCAAACTTCCTTTTGTTGTTTACGCCACTTGAGTATATTCTCTGCCAATTCTTCTGTCTCAGTCACCAAAATATCCATCTTTGCTAAAGCCTTGCTCTGTAACATTTGAAAAGGGAAATAGGAGAAATTATGTCTGTTATTAATTCATTATATCATGAATAATTGAAACCAAAGGTTACCACCTGATCTTTTTCCGGCCCCTTCAAAGGCTCCTTAAAATTGTGTTTTCCCACTTCTTACAGTACAAACCTACTCTTTGTAAGTTCACCTCTTCTGTCATCAATAATCACTCAATGCAGATGACTCTCAATTTACATTGCTAAACACAACCTCCTTCCTAAAATTTTGGCCCACATTTAAGACTACTGGTAATCTCCATCCGGATGTACCTTCAACATCTCAAACTCAATTTAACTACAGTTCAACAATGATTGACCATTTACTACATATGAAAGATGTGTCAAAAAATAAACTTACTAACTTCTTTAACCCACACTAATCCTAGTCACCTTCAAGTCACCCAGACTAGAAACTTCATTACCTTTAATGTGTCCCTTGTCCAACTCATAGCCAAGTTCTAAAAATTTGACCTCCAAAATCTAAACAATTTATCTTCTGTATTCTTTTTTTTTTTTTTTTTTTAAT